AAGGGAATCCTTCCGGGCGTATGACTTGTGACAGATCTTACATTTGAAGGATTTAATATTATAATGTACTTCATTCGCATGACGATTGAGGAGGCTTTGGTATATAAAAGATCTATGACAAATTTCACATTCGAAGGGGTTGTTCGGATTATGTTCTTTATTTATGTGAATTTTGATGTCACCCTTGCGGCCGAATGATTTGTGGCAAACGTCGCATTCAAAAAGTTTTTTCTGTGCATGTACCTCATCAATGTGCCTTTGGAGATCGGCGGGGTTTCGAAATGATGAGTGACATTTCTCACATTCGACGGATTGGCTTTGATAGTGAACTCCAATTGTATGATATTCGAGGTGATGTTTGCGTCCAAATGACTTCCCTGGCAAAATATTTCTTTAATCGCCACAAATAATTGTAAATCTCAATAAATAAGAATTAAAACACTTCAATAAAATCTAGTAAAATCAAATATATGTGAAAACTTTCAAATAATTTTAAAGAAAATCAAATAATCATATAAATACTCACAAATACTCACTCTACGAATTGGGACTTTTATATTTGTGAGTATTTAAAAAAATTTTTTTTTTTTAGCATTGATTTATATTTAATAATTTATATTGTAATATATTTGAGAGTATTGGAGAGTTTTAACTTTTATTATAATATATTTGAGAATATTGGAGAAATATTTTTCTAAATTGTTCAAATGTAATCATACATCTAGTCATAATAATTGTAGTAATTAGTTAATAATTGATGGTCAATGTATATTTTTTTAAATTGTTTCTTTATTCCAAAAAAGAATTTTTTACATTGATTCAGTTTACATTTATAAAAAATGAGTTCTAAGCATATAGCTGTTGTAGCCAAACAAATGTTGCNCAATAGGATTTTGCTATCTCATAGAGGAAGCTCTGTGATAGGGTCGAAAACGAGATTTTGAACCAGACCTCGTAGGACAATTTGGTTTACATATTTGTAAACTAGATTGAATTCTCAAGAAATGTCCGCATGTATGTATGTGTGTGTGTGTGCGCGTATGTCCGAGGCAAAATCTTGAAAATGTTACGGTGGATTGTATTAATTTCAATGGTATTCATTGTCGTTTGTAGTATTAATTAGGCCAGAAAAGTTTTTTGGCAATACACGAGAAAAAAAAATTTTTTTTCGATTTTTCGAAATTTTTTTCGTAAATTTGAAAAAAAATTGTTCTTCTTTTTTCACGTAAAAATGCCGGAATTTTTATAAGGGAATTTTTTTGTTGTCACCATGAAAGCAGCCAAGCTTTAATTTAAGACCAAAAAGATAGGCATTCACCTAATATTATGAAAATTAACGACTCGAATTAAAATTTTTTTTATGTAAATTTGAAAAAAAAAATTTTTTTATTTCACGGATAAATGCCGGAATTTTCACTACTTTTGTTATCATCATGAAAGCAGAGCAGTCAAGCTTTAATTTAAGAACAAAAATTGAAGACCAAGTAAAATTCTATTTTTTCTTTTGAAAGTTTTGTATAGATTTTTAAATTTATTAGTATTAAGTTTTAGGTTAATATTTATTATAATATAATTAAAAGAGAATGAGGAAGCACTTTGCCAATGACTTGGCAGCGTTTTTTTTTTTATATTTACGTTATTTTAAAAAAAATCTACATTCAAATATTCATTTCTTCCAGGCTGTCTGTGGTGACACAAGTGACGATGAATTTGAAAATTCTGGGGATTCAAGTTTGAACAATTTGAATGCACTAGACAATGCACTTTTCGAAGAAAATGAACTTGAACAAGCCGACGAAGTGAAAGAAGTGGGAAACGCAGAGTTTCACAATAACTTGAATCAAGTTGATAACAATTTTTTTGCTCAAAATGATCAAATCGATAACAGTTTTTTTGCTCAAAATGATCAAATCGATGACAGTTTCTTTGCTCAAAATAATGATTGGGTGAATATTGATCAAGCAGACATCAGGAGTGAATACGATAGTGGAGAAGAAGTGGACGTTAGCGATTACGAAAATATACGGTCAGAAAAAAAAATGTTGAACAAAAAATTGTTTCTCAATGAACGAATACGTAAAAAAACAAATACTAGTAATGGAGAAATAATTTTGATGTGTATGTTATTAGCGATTCGTCACTCTTTCACTTGGGCAGCATTATTGGATGTCATGGATTTGATAAATAAACTTTTTGATGAAGATATAATTAAAATGAGTAAATTCAAGCTTATGCAATTTTTCCCTGGGCGCAAGGACTGGTATGTTTACCATGTGTACTGTCCTAATTGCAAGCAATATATAGGTAATCGTGACGAATTGTCAACAGTGGTTGCTTGTGTTTCTTGTAAAGTCACACAAATAGATCCAAAAAAGTGTCCATACTTTTTAACACTGAATATTAAAAGTCAGATACAAGAATTACTAAATAATCCTCTAATACAACCTCATTTAAGTTATCGTGAAACCCGATGTAAAAAGACCGAGGATAATATTGAAGATGTCTTAGATGGAGATCTATATAAAAGACTTTCTGCGCCAAACAATATATTACATGACAAATTAAATTTTTCGTACATTTTTAATACAGATGGTTGTAAAGCTAGCGATTCGAGCCCTGTAAGCGTGTGGCCAGTATTTTTAAAAATTAATGAATTACCACCTGCAATAAGAGATAATTTCATTATTTTAGTAGGGCTGTGGGTGAATGAAGTAAAACCCACTATGAATACATTTTTACCACCATTAATTAATGTAATGAATAGTTTATCATCTGAAGGAGTTGAATGGAACAGAAATGGCAAAATCGTTAAGTCCAAAATAATACCGTTTGGTTGCTGCGTTGACTCGCCATGTCGATGTAGTCTGTTAAACATGAAACAATTTAACGGAAATTATGGCTGTACATTCTGTTATCACCCAAGTGAACAAGTAGATGGTGTTCGAAAATATCCGCTGAATGGGAAGTTTTATCCGCTTCGCAGCCATGAAAATATCATCCAAGATATGCTTTCCACGCGTATACGCGATGAACGAACAGGAAAAGTAAAAATACAAGAAGTGACTGGAGTTAAAGGACCATCCGCTCTAATGAATTTGAAATACTTTGATCTTGCTGATGGCATGTCCCCTGATAGTATGCACGCAGTTTATCTTGGGGTATCGAAACAAATCACAGAAATAATTCTAAGCTCATCTAAGGAACCTTATTATGTGGGATCTCCAAATCAGTTAGCAGCAATTGATCACCGACTTCTTTCCATCAAAACACCAAAATGTATTACAAGAACAGTAAGATCTGTACAAAAACGAAGCTTGTGGAAAGCATCTGAGTGGCGATCATGGTTGCTTTATTATTGCTTACCTTGTTTGTCAGGAATTCTCTCTCCTAAATATTTCATTATAATATCAAAAGTGGTCAGCGGTATTGAAATTTTGCAAAGAGATTCTATTGGTTATGATGATGTTAAATTTGCAAATAAATTATTGGTAGAATTTATTATAGAATTTGAGAAAGAGTTTGGAAAACATAATATAACGTACAATGTACATCTTTTATTGCACATCGCAAGGAGTGTTCAAAATATGGGCCCATTGCAAGTACAAAATGCATTTTGCTTTGAAAATGAAAATCGATTACTACTACATTTAAAAAAAAGCCCAACAGAAATTGCAGTTCAAATTTCGAATCGTTATTTTGTTTACAGATCAATACCTTTTTTTTCTACATTATTTCCAATTGGCACAAGAGTAATAGAATTCACAGACAATTTTGAAACTCGAATAAAAAATTGTGCAAGGGTAGATTCTGCAGTAGTAATCGGTGTGGGAAAACCTTATACTCTCAATGAGTCTGAACAGAAACTTTTCTTCAATTTCAATAGTAGTTATTTGAGTTACCACAAATTAATTTATAAACATCGTAGGTATACTACAAAGGCTTATGCAGAAAAACTAAAAATAAATGACTCTTTTATTGAATTACAATCTGGTTGTAAGGGAGTAATTACAAATATAGTCGTCAGAGATGGATTTATGGAAAAAGATATTTACGTATTCTATCATCCAATTGTAATACTTAATAGTAACTCTTTTGATGTGTCACATATAAAACACATTCAAGAATGTACAATTGAATCTAATACTTTACTCGTTTGTAAGCCTACAAATATTAAAAATTCATGCATTTTCATAGAAATTAATAAAAAACAGTACATAAGTTCCATTATACAAGGAACTCTCGGAGACTAAAAATAACGTTAATGAGCCGTAGATTTTAAGACATTAATAAAGTATATCAAAACTTCTTCAAAAAATTGTTTTATTTGGCGAACCTAATTTTATATTTCTCACATTCACGCAATTCAATCGTAATTGTCCAATTAATCAGACAGTTTATTTTAAACGTCTGAAAATACTATTATTTGTAAATTGTAAATTGATCAATATGATCACTCAATAATCAATGAAAAAACATGCTCAATAATATCAAATTCGAATAAATCATAATGAATTTCTAATAAAAAAGAATTCAAAATAAAATTTAAGAATATTAAATAATTTTTAAGAATTTCTATAATTATTTATTACTTGTAAAGACAGAAAAATAATTTTAAATACTGGCAAATATCAAATTCCCAATTCCGGCAAAGATTCTTTGGTGGTATTTGACAGTATTTAAAATTATTTTTCTGTCTTTACTAGGATTATGAATATCTTTTGCCAGGGTTATGACAAATTTCACACTCATAGGGTTTTAAACGATCATGTACTGCGCTTATGTGTTTTCTGAGATCCCTGTCGTATCCGAATGATTTCAGACAAATGCCACATTGAAAGGGTTTCTTATGTTCGTGTACTACACTTACGTGAGATTCAAGGTGAGTTTTTCTTCCAAATGATTTAGGACAAATATTACATTGGTAAGGCTTGCTACGCATATGTACTGCATGTATGTGTTTGGCGAGATTACTTTTATATGAAAATGACTTGTGACAAATGTCACATTCGAAGAATTTGATACAATCGTGCACTATCTTTACGTGAGTTTTCAGTTGAGCCTTGCTGCCAAATGATTTCTGACAAATCTCACATTCGAAGGGTTTGATTTTATTATGTACTGCATTTATATGTTTATCGAGGCTACATTTGTATCCAAATAATTTCTGACAAATGTCGCATTTGAAGGGACTGCTACGATTATGTACTACACTTATGTGAGTTTTAAGATAACTTTTTCGTCCAAATGATTTATGACAAATTTCGCACTCGGTTGGTCCGAAGGTAATGCTGTTACGTTTGCCATTGGTTTGATTTTTAAGACTTGCAGATGCAGTATTATTTTTTCGACACACTCTTGACTTATAAGATGATTTTTTTTCAACAATTTCATCAACATTCCTCAGCTTCTCACATTCCACCAGTTTTAAACGAGAGTTGGCATTCAATCGACAATTATCATCATAATTAAATCCTTTTTTTATCAAAATTATAAGCTTTTTTTTATTCACGTAATCGTGCGGATTTTGGTTTTCTTTTTCGATAATAGGTTGACAACTTTGATACTCGGATTTGCAAATATTTGTTGACAAAGACGCCGGTTGAAGTTTAACATCTTTGCACTCAAAATCGACGAATATATTTTCATTTGTACTATCAGACTGATTTTCTTTTTCGATTTTTACAACAGATTGACAATTTTGATACTCGGATTTGCAAATATTTGTCGACAAAGACGTTGGTTGAAGTTTAACATCTTTGCACTCAAAATCGACGAATATATTTTCATTTGTACTATCAGACTGATTTTCTTTTTCGATTTTTTCAATAGGTTGACAACTTTGATACTCGGATTTGCAAATATTTGTCGACAAAGACGTTGGTTGAAGTTTAACATCTTTGCACTCAAAATCTATCAGTACATTTGCATCTAAACTTTCCTCTGATGGTATAGTTTCATTTTCTTGTTTTGGCTGAAATTAAAATGATGGTATAGTTTCTGATGGTGGATGAACAGAAAACAATTTATTTTATTGAACTCACCGATAATGCATGAAACGACAATATTTCAGATTTTTCTGCTTTGCAAGGGTCCACCGAATCGAGAACATAATCGTCAGCTGCAATCGTCAAAGTATCGCTCGGCTCTTCCTTCACCCTGTAAAAAAAAATCGAGTTTTATAAATGATCACTCAAATACTTATCATGGCAGTACAATGTGTATCACATCAAAAATGTTTATTTATTTGGCAGTTGCTTTTTGGTTAAATCTATAAAAACAGCTAAGTTTTTCAGTCAGTTACTCACGTAAGAACTTGTTCTATATTTCGCATAATTATCAGTTATTTTAAAAATGATAAATACTCAGCTTCTCACTTGAGATTTTAATTTAGGTGTTCGCATAACTTCTCACATAAGATCTCACGCGATGACTTTCAATAGGGCTAAGTCTAAATAAAAATGCTGATTTTAATGACCGCTTGGGAAATCTGTGGTAGAAATTTTTATGCCAAGATGACGGTAAGGGATCGGACACAGACTTTTGTGGGAGCCGAGTAATAAATAAATGTCAAAAAATGAATTAGCAACTTTTTCAGGTATCTGATGTGATCAAGATCGTCTACATTCAAATATGTTCTTGCAAACAAATTTTTGTCAAAAAACTTTTGTCCCTTCATCTGCAATTAGTTAATTAAGGCGTTTTGACCCTATATCTGAGATCTTGTTTTATGCCCGATCTCCTTCCATCATCTTGGAATAAAAATTTCGAAAATTTCTTAATATAACTGTGGGGTTTTCCGCAGACAATAGGAAGAAAAAGAAGAATCAATGAACTTGGTTCACATGGTCTAGTTAATTAATTTTTAACCTTTTCGGACATTGGTATTTAATTTTGAGCCTTTTCGCGAATCATCTTTTCTATCAGGCAATACTCGAGAGGTCAGTAAAGCTCGTTACTTGCAATTATTCAAGTGTGAAGGGAAAAATGGTCACTTGATAAAACGGTTAAAACCGTTTATTTCGAGTTTGACAGCGACTACCCTTGAGGTTAAGTAATAGTTATTTACACACCGCTACTCAGCCCTTGTTGTATAAAAAATTTTTCTGCATAAGAGCTCGTTTTGAGAACTATATCGTGCATAATTGTTATGTTCCATTTAATTTCTTTATAGCACTCTAAACTAAAAACTGTGACTTTGCCGCTAGTTTTAGGCTCTCGTGTACATACTGTATATGCAACTTGTGTGGATATGTTTTTTCTGAAAAACGAGGGGTTGCATAAAGCACTAGTTGTTCCAACTTGAATCTCATTACACTGATTTTCCTAGTGTCTTGATGAGTAGAGTCGGTAGAACATCGGTCACGCTGCATTTCTTTCCATTATTCAGTTTCTACTGCTTCATTTTTACAGTCATCGTGTTTAGTGCGAACACAAACATGAATTAAAAATGACATTTCTATCTCGTGTAGATATGTTTGTATTCAAGAAAGAGAGGTTAAAGGCAGCGCGAGTTGGCCTGCCACTTTGACATGTAGCAGACAGCACAGGCTACACGCACGCGATCTGCGCGAGTCGTCTCGGTTCGAGTCTGCGGGACTTCACACGTCTCCTCGACTGTATGCAGGGCTCCTCGACCTGTATTCAATTGATTTCAGTGCGAGAAGTATGAATTGTCGCCACATAGCGCGCTGCTCTCCTCGACTGTATGCGATCCCGCACGACTCGTTCGAGCTCGCGTGCGTGTAGCCTGTGCTGTCTGCTACATGGCAAAGTGGCGGACCGACTCACGCGGCCTTTAACCTCTCTTTCTTGACTATAAACATATCTACACGAGATAGAAATAACTAATATTTGTGGCAAAGGTGGTCAAGTAAAATTAGTGTCGAAATGAAAAAATAGTTAATTTATTTAAATTTAACTTACATTGTGAAATCGTTAGAGTACTGCTGTACGCAACGAGCAGTCAATCACCACAGAAAAAACACTCTTCGACACTTTTTAACGCAACTGGCCTGCCAGACTGCTGGAGCACGAGTGAGTCAAGAATTATGAGACTGTAGAGCAGACGCACACTGTGGCGCTGTGCACACGAGCTCAATGTAAACCTGTGCCGAATGCACAGGTTTTTCCTGTGCGTGCACGGGAGTTCACTCCAAAGTCAGCACGGAAAGAAATCGCGCTAAGATAATGTTTATTTGGCCGTTTCTCGTAAAAAAATTGGCCGATCTTTCTGAAATTTTTTTACAACATTCTTGAAAAAGTTCTGAAACTAATTGTATATTCATAAAAATTATTAACATTGTTTAGTCTACCAAAAGAAATTATTGAAAATAAGGCAGTTTAATGAATGTTTTTGTTTCATTCAATCGAGGAAAGTCTGTTATGAATTTTCGAAAATGAACATTCTTATACCATAACATTATTTAATATGGTTTAAGGAAGGCCCGTGAAAATTTTTAGCCTGACAGTTTTTTCACTTACTTCTGTTTAAATAAACAAATTGGGCTAAAAATTTACACAGGCCTTCCTTAAACTATATTGAATAATGTTATGGTATAAGAATGTTCATTTTCGAAAATTCATAACAGACTTTCCTCGATTGAATGAAACAAAAACATTCATTAAACTGCCTTATTTTCAATAATTTCTTTTGGTAGACTAAACAATGTTAATGATTTTTATGAATATACAATTAGTTTCAAAACCTTTTCAAGAATGTTGTAAAAAAATTTCAGAAAGATCAACCAATTTTTTTACAAGAAACGGCCAAATAAACATTATCTTAGCGCGATTTCTTTCCGTGCTGACTTTGGAGTGAACTCCAGTGCTCGCACAGGAAAAACCTGTGCATTCGGCACAGGTTTACATTGAGCTCGTGTGCACAGCGCCACAGTACATCTCGGTCTCTCCGTGTATGAGGAGTAACAGGCCGAGAACGAGGTCGACTGTTGCCTTTCTCAATCGGGTAAATTTTTATAAGTTAAATGATAAAAAAACAATCTTCTACAAATTCTTTAAGTTAATTCATATAAAAACTATAATTGAGTTTCAATTACAAAACATACAATTCAACTTACAATTACTTAAACTTTATTATATAATATTACAATTATTTTAATATGAATTATCGATATTTACATTAAATTTAATAAAGTTCTTGGAGAGAATTCTATTAAGTAATTATCACAAATAAAAAAAAATATTGAAAAAAATGAACAAAAATTAATTAAAATAATATTTGAAACGTAATCAAAGTTTTTTAAATTTTTTTTTTAATTTGAAAAGAATAATTTTCAAAATTTTTTGATAAAATGAAATGATTCAGGAATAAATTCGAGCACGGATTTCGAAAGATAAGGAGAAGAAAAAAAAGATATTTTAGAAATTGGTTTAAATTATTATTTTTTATTGGTAACCATAATCCGTTAATTACGGAATTGCAAGCAAACTTTATATAATTCTTTGTTCTTTAGAGGTTCGAGAATAATCACACAGACCTCCTCTGGCATACTCAGCGACGTCCGTATCGGCATCTCCTTTAATAATGTATGCATTGCCCAGCGCCAGAAAAATTTTCTAGACATATTCTCGCATACGCGTGCAGTGATCACATCATATCGGCTCTTCGACCCACGCCAAAACTTGAATAATTCCGTATATGAGGGTAGTTCTTTCGGTTCCCTTGATGGTTGTGCCTTGATTAGTTTGTCGAGCGACATTTCCGAATTTATCCTTAACTTTTCCGTTACGAACTTGAACTTTTTCTCTTTAAAACTTTCGTGCAAATCTCCTGGTTTCGCAAACAATTTGTACTTTTTGAATAATCCCATGATCGTCAAAGCGTCGCTTCTCCTAGTTTCGTAGCCCCTCTCCTCTAAGCGCTCGACGCAGGCTAGAGCCCCAGAAACAAGTTCCAATCCAAAATTGTGTTGACACTTTTTAAATCTCCCCGCGAAGTATTTCGCGGCCGGAAAAACGAATTTGGACAAATCGGCACCGTGGTCCAGGAGTATATCGACCATATCGGGTCTGACATTAGCCACAGCCAATTGAAGGGGTGTTAGGCCTTTATTGTCTCTGGCGTCGACCTCTACTTCTCCGTCGATCTCGAAGAATACCTCCATCAAATCATGAATATCACGAATCTCGTTATCCGTTCTCTTGCTAATGTAGTGAAGAGGCCTCTGTCCTTGGACATTAGCCGCATTCCGATTGGCGCCACTCCTTAGCAGCAATTCGATAAGTAGTTGGTTATATTTGCCAAACAGGGCCCAGTGCAATGGTGTGTTACCGTACTCGTCCTGGGCGTTGATATCAAGTAGTTGCTTGGGTAGTAGCTCGACCAACTGTTGATAACAACTGTTCTTGCAGTAAACGTGCAGAAGAGTCGTTCCATTGGCGTTGGCTAAATTCGGATCCAATCTCCTGAGTTTTCGCGCCGGAGCTAAATTATTCTGGTCGTCGTCGTCGTCGTCGTCTTCGGTGCTCTTGCGAATCCGAGACGAAACGGTAGTGGATTCATTCTCTTGAGCCGAACTAGCATCGGCGCTCTTTCTCGTCAGCAAATCGATCGCGTATCTGTTACCGTTCGTCATTGCCAGGTGCAACGGTGTTTTTCCCGCGAGGTCTCGACCATCGATGCGCACAGGCTGCTTCTTGGCTTCGTTGATTTCGAAAAATAACTTCAGCAATTCGTTGTCGCAATCTTGTCGATTCAAGAGCTTGTGCAGAGGCGTCCTCCTCATTTTGTTGGTTATATTGGGTCTGGCGCCGTGTCTCAGCAGAACCTCGACCAATTTTTTGTTGCCGAACTCCATGGCCAGATGCAGCGGTGTGTTGCCGAGTTTAGTCTGAGGATTGACCTGCAGCGGCTTAAATCGCTGCTGGCTGAGCTCCAATAAGATATTCGCCAGGCTAGGGTCGTCGCGATAATTGGCGCAAACGACGTGCAGAGGCGTCTTTGCATCTTCGCAGGCTAAACTGGGATCGGCTCCTGCCGTCAGTAAAAATTTGATGATATGTCGCATACCGCGGAACGCAGCCAGCCATAACGGTGTCCGGCCGTGATTGTCTTTAGCGTTGGTATGCAACGTTTGATGCAATTTTTCGTTGATATCGTAATACATCCTTAAAAAGTCGACATCTTCTGAGTAAGTGCAAATGCAGTGAAGAGGTGTCATTCCGTTTTGGTTGGACAAATTTGGATCGGCGCCTCTCCTCAGCAGAATCTCGGTCAATTTTTTGCGACCCCGCTTCAGAGAATACAGCAGCGGTACATCGCCGTGTTTGTTCCGGGCGTTCACCTGCACCGGCCGATACTTCTCGTGGCTGAGCTCGAACAACGCGTTCAGCCGGTCGTCGTCGTCCTCCTCGATGGCGCTGAGGCAGTGTAGAGGCGTCAGTCCCAGTTTATTCGCGAGATTGGGATCGGCGCCGCGTCGCAGCAGCAACTCGACGAGCGAGCGGTCGGTAATAACCAGGATCAGCGGTGTGTCGCCCGTGTCGTCCACGCGCACGTTGGGATCCTGGCCGAGCTCGAGAAATCTCTCGACGACGCGCTCGCACCTGGCCATGCAGGCCGCGTGAAAGTGCGTCAGTCCGTCCTCGTCGGTGTAGTTCACGTTGAAATCTTTGTAAATTTTGAAAAGTTTAATCACCGTCGTCCTGACGTTTGCGGGTAGCGGGAAGCCGGTATCGTAATCTTTTCTGGCCAAGTAAAGTATCGGCGTGACGCGTGGCGGAGGCTCGCCAGCCTCGACGACGTCGGCAGGCTTGTACTCGTATCCGCTGTCAGCCACAAAATCGATGAATCCATGTGCGCTTTCACTTTTGTCGTTGTTTTTCACTGCCACGTGTTTCACGGCCTCCAAGAGAAGCGAGTTCATTTCTTCCGGCTGTAACTGGACTTCCTCGAGTAGAAACGGTTCGCCGTTTAGTTCGCTGATTGTGGAGTTAATTTTTTCGACAAGAATGAATCGCTCTTTTTCGTTATCAAAATTAATCGTCTGTCGTAAGTCCCTCAATTTTTCTAATGGTGTTCGATTGTCTAAAATGACATCGGATTGCTCATCGAGACTCATGATTCACACTAAAATTGTCACCACGTGCTACACTATGAATTTCACTGAACACTCTGGCTGCTTGCTTGCTGGCGATGTGGCAGTCGTGGCTGCTATACACCTCTTTAACAACTAGCTCTTTAGCAGCGTGGCGTGTTGGAGGCGAGTGACTGATGACGATCAAAGTGAAAGCTATCCTATAGGAAGTGTAGCCGACGACTTGCGCACTTTGTAAAATAGTATAGTAGTATAGCGTCTACAATGAGCACCAAATTCAAATTCGTGTAAACATGTAAATTAAAAAATCTATTGTAATTTTTTTATTCATTTAGTAAGAATAAAATAAAAATATGATTGCTACTCTAATGCGTCGTCAAGCTCGAAAAAAAAATATTAGAGTAAGCCATGCTGCGGATAAAAAAATATATTTTTTAAATAAAAAAATTAAAATTTGGAAATTTACTTAATTATTCTTTCTTCTCATTTAACGTCTGCGTATTATAGAATTTTTTAAATTAAATTTCAATGACTGACAACAGACAAACTTCTTTATTTTTGGAGATTGCTCAACGTTTTGACTTACTTTCCGCAAGTCCTCCTCAAGAGCTGTCAAACAAATCATTTATTGAAGAATATTTTACACTCAAGAAATTTTACAAAATTAACAAATTCAAACACTATCATTCCAGTAATATCAATATTGAACTCTGCATCATTAGACTGATGATTGCAATTATGATACTGAATTATTGTTAAACACTGAAAATACCTTTATTTATTATGATTTATACATATTTTAATATTGCACCATTTGTTTTATGTTTGTGTTGATACAAAACCAGTGTTTATGTAACACTTTATTAATTACTAACGTTACTACTTTAATTTTTATTATAAAATATTAATATGTTACTATATCTTAAATTTGATGATTACTTTATAAATCATTATGTTAATATTAAAATTGTCATTATGATAATAAAATCATTTGAATTATAATTGTAATATCTACAAAAATAGATATTAGTTCAACTGATACTTTTATTTTAAGTTCATTATGAATACGATTTAAAAATATCAACAAAACTATTTATTTAAAAATCAAATTAAATAATTTAATGTTTTTTTTTAATTACAACATTAAAACAATATATAATGAACTAACAAGATAGATACATAATATGAACATTTTATAGTAAAACAATTAAGAATGAACTTATGACAATACAGGCATAATTATAATGTACATACATTCAGAGTATAAATGTTTTCAAACTATCAACATCACAACATGTGAAACTCATTAAAACTCAAAATATGACATTGTTAAAATCTCATTTTCCGATTTAACTATTTATAAATAAGTATAAATCCCGGCAAAGTATTTTTTTATCCTTTATAAAATACTTCACTCATTGACTTTTTCTCCCATCTCTTAATGGATAACCATTATCGATTTTTTTTATGATGACCATTATTTACCAAGAGAATTTAAGAAAGATTAGAAGTTTGAATGAATTACTGAAAGATTATATCGTCTCATAAAATATAATTCATTACAATGTTCAAATATCGAAATAATCGTCAAAGTTGTTATTTGTTACAATAAACATAACTTTTATTTTGTCTAATACAGCAACAGAGACAATTCTTTAAAATGTTTAAATATCGAAATAATCGTCAAAGATTTTTTTCTTTGGTTTGTTACAATACACATAACCTTTATTTTGGCTCAAACAATAACAGAGATTACATTGTATTATGTTTGTATTTCGTTGTAATAACTTTCTCGAAAGTTATTGTTGTCGAAAAAATTGTTAAAATAAAGTCACTCTTATGCGAATATAATACATTACATTGGTAGCAATACTTTCAGTCCTTCAGTACGAAATATCACTTTCCGTGCCCAGTAGCCAGTGCCAGAAGCGATTGCGGCGACGCGTGGCACTTACGGGCTTCCGTACTGTCCACATTCGGATCCGCTCTTCGTCTCAGCAGCATGGCGGCGACGTCTTTCTGCTCGCATCATCATCATCGTCACCGTCAAGTGTAGCGACGACATTCCCGTCTCCCATGCGAGGCATTTCGGATTCTGGGCGTGCTCGAGGAACTTCTCGACGACGTCCTTGCAGCCGAAGAGTTGGGCCACATGAAAATGCGAAAATCCATTACCGAGGCTGTAGTTGATGTCAAATCTGTTGTAGATCTTGAAGAGCTCGCGAACCATGAATATCGATTCGCTCTTCGTGTCGGCGGCAATGCGATGCAACGCCGTGACGCAACGCCAACGTGGCTGGCCCTGTTCGTCGAGGTCGGGCTCGTCTCGGTATCCTGTACTTATCACGAAATTGATTAACTCGGTATGACCGGATTCCACACACTTCACGAGTAGCCAATCGATTTCTTCCTTTCGAAAAATTAATCGGAGATTTGGAAGTCGGCCCTGCCAATTTTTAATCGAGCTGCAAAGTTGTCCGTAAAAATCGTGTCGTTCTGCTTCGATTTCCCAATTGACACGTGCTCGCATGCTCATTAATTTTTCTTCATCCGTCTCGGAAATGGAAAAATCCATTAGGGATTGGTTTAAATCGTCGAGGGCCATATTTTATACGCACTTGCACTAAAACACAGCACTGATAGATTAATAAAATTTATACAATTAACAATCTCAGCGGGAATCTTTACCTTGGGTCGAGAAAATTTTTCTCTATACGATGTTAACTCTGCGCCAACGTCACATGGAATGGACCGATTCATCGTGTAACTCGTACAGACACCAAAAAAAGTTCGAGGTTAGATAGCTGCAGCGCAGTCGCGTAAGACACGTCGTGAAAGTGAATGTTTTTTTTTATTAGTGGGGCGGTCGAAGTAGGATTCGAACTCGAGACTTTGAGGTGGAGAGTCTAGCACCGTACCGAGTGAGCTATACGATGATACGTTTATAATGATCAAAACGTAAATCCACTAGTTTCACATCAGTAAGTGCAGTAATCTTGCATTAATCCACTATATTGATAAAATATTGCATTCTTCAACGAACTTGTCGTGATTAATAAGATTATTAATTCTTAGCGCGTACTTCTTTCATTAATTTCAAGATTTTACTGTTTCTTAATTAATATAAAACATTAATCCGAGTGTCGATGAGATACACTGAATTGAAATAGAAAATTTTGACTTTTTTTTGTAAGTAACACTGGGCGATACATTTCAAAATATGCCTACACGACAGCTCGCGTTTGAAAAACAGCCAAGTCGCTTATGTTGCGCTTATGTTTAGTCAGACGCGCGCGTATCCAATAATCCCTACACCACTGTACCCGCGAAGTAGTAAGATGTGTCGCCGCTAGGTGGCACAAAGCAAGAAACATAATTCACGCAGATAACATTGTTAAGTACAATAGTCAAATCTAGCTATAATATAAGAAGCTATTATTCCAGAAAAAATTAATTTTTCCGAAGAATATTGACTTTGAAGGTGACTCAATTTTCGGTAAGTTAAAAATTACAAAATAAATTTTGGAAAAAAATACTTTAAAAATTAAAAAAAAATCATGTAAACAGTATTATATTCGTGAAATAATGCGAATTACAAACAATTTTTAATCATGCCTAAAGTTACATTTCTATATTTCGTATCTTCCGAAATTGGCCCATCATCTTAACTCATTTTGGGATTCAGATTTCTATGCAGGGTGATGTATTTATTTCACCTCTCCTCCTCTCATCCTGCTCCAAGCTAGCGACGATGGACGGAAGTCTAATAACGACCCCCGTGACAACATACATGATAGCTGATACGTTTTTTCGAATGGTTTTTTTCCATTTTTGTGAACTTATACATGATTTATATGACAACCAATTTTTTAGGGTTGAAGATGTAACTCTTGAAGTAAGAAAATTTTTTAATTAGTGTACAAGCATTTGTACCGGAAAATTATAGCAAAAAAAGTTCTTTCATTGGTCATTTTTTGCGTCAAACTGTTACAAAGTTCTTAAATAATATGCAAGCGCTGTGTTACATACGTACTTGCAAACTTTAATATGAATTCAAAGGTGGTGATTCTTGAAAGTAAAAGTAATTCAAAAAATATGTGAAAGATAAGACACGATGTTCGTTTTCCACCAATCACCGATGCAAAATCTGCGTATCATCTACACAGACGATTTTTTTCCTTGAAATCTTGAATAATTACGAAATGTACAATTTTTTCTTGAAACATTATTAAAAACGATTTACACGAGGATAAATTGATTATGGGAACGATGTTGTTTTGACCAGCAAAATCAGTATTCGGGTCGTGTAAAAACCCACGGACTGATTTTTTAAAAATTTATTTTCTCTCTTCCGAATTGAAATATAAACGTGTTATAATTTCGTTACTTACATAATATGATCAAAAAAAGAGCTAACGCCTGGCCGACAAAGTGATTGAGAATATTTTATACAGTGAAGAAGAGAACGAATGAAATGTTGAATATCAAATTTATCGATTTTTGCTTAATTTTGCCATTGAAAAACCATTAATACAATTCATGACTAATTTTTCTAAGTAACAATTTACTCGAACAATTCAAACAAGTTCAACGAACAATAATTTTAAATTAATTTTTAAGTGGAATAGTTAAGTATAAAAAATTCATATATTTGGGAGTTTTATTTTATTGTTCAGATGATGTGAGTGTACAAAAACGAGTCATACATTTTTCTGACTTCTAGTTAAATAATTTTTCAAATTGAATTTTTCTAACTCAACTCCTTATATCAAAAAATTTTGCGATTCAAAAGTACTCTATAATTTTGATTTTTCAGGTACTTATCTATGAGCTGCTTTAATTTTAATGAGCACCATCTTTTGTTGTACGGATAATCGAAAAATTAAATAGAAAATAAAAATTTAGTATTGAATTACATTTATTTCTTGCAAACTGTTTAAATGTGTTACAAATATAATATCTTATGCGCTATCTCTTTATAGGACAATTCGTACCTATATTTTAGCAAAATTATACCTATTTGTTAATCCAGATTTTATTTTATAAATACATTTTAGTTCAGCATTAAAATTCTATGGTATTTACACTAGTCATATCAATTTATATACAAACGCAAACTTGCTTAGTAGCACCATATAGGAATTTAGTTTTGTTGGGTTAAACATTTAAGCATGTTGTCAAGTATGCATTTTTTATGCAAGTAACGCCATATATTTTTATACGAACGTATTGAAATGGCCTTCGTAAATTATTTACGCAAGATATACATACTTTTACTCTTTTTTTTCAAGTTAACATTCTTATAACAATTTCAATCATTTTCATAATGACAACATGATTATAACTGTTTTTACACCACATGGGTGATAACAATTTTAATAAATAAGCAAGATAATGTAAAAAATATTTGCTATATTATTAGTACAATTATTTACAATAAAAAAAGTAGAACATAGCTTAATATTCTACCAAAAACGTTGATAGAGTTCATCAGTAACAGTAGAAAATGCGTTCTTGTCATGCATCTCTCACATTTTAAAAGGTCATTTAAAACTTTGAGTGTGTAATTTTGTATTTTGATAATTCAATGATTTTTCTTGGGTGAATTTTCAAAAATGGCACATTGATTCACGGTGAATCGATTAAAGTTTTTTTTAGATAGAAATATTAATTAATTTTGATCCAAAATCAACGTCCAAATACAAAACCCAAGCTATTAATACAATATCCATTTCATACTGAACGCATTCTCATCTATAGCCTAGAAATTTAAACAAGTAAATCTGGTAGAGAGAGTGGGTACAATAAATTTATAAATAAAATAATCGTAGTGACAGTTTTGTCGTGATTTTTTTCAATAAAAATAACGTAAAAATTTAAAAAATAAGTATTTCGAATGTGTTACGTCCGTATTGCATTTTTACTAACGCGTGAATTGTGCGATGTGACACTCTTTGTGAAGGATTGGAAGTATACGGATTCAAAGATAAACATTTGGAAAAAAAAGATCATGGTACAAATTACGCAAGTAACAGTGTTTTTTCAATTGTGCACGCATCAGAATAATCCCAAATGCAAGAGAGCGACGCTTATTAGCTGTTTACAAGTTAGAAAAAAAAACGCAAGAGTGTAAGTTTAAAGATGAGTTAACAGGGGCTTAAACGTTAAAAAAATTGATAACTTTGTTTTGTTTTTGTTTTTGTTTTTTTTTTCGAATAAAAAGTCAAGACTAGCATTGCGGTCTGTATGGCCTGCGGGAATTCTTCGTTCAGGCCCGGGACTTTTTGCTCTTCAGTTTGAACCAGCCCGCGCTCTTGTTGGGGTCGCGCGGCACGGACGTGGACCTGCTGAGTTCCGGCCGCGAGCTCACGACGTTCCGGGACTTGCTGGCCAACGACTCGGTGGACACGGTTCTGCTAACCTTCTGCTTGTCCTTCGACTTGAGGGTGCTGCGATTGATGGTGCCTGGATGAAAATGCGAGAAAAAAAATGTCATTATTTCATGGTACACTGCGTCAAATTTCACGACTATACGGTTCGATCGCGCGAAGCGCAATAACCACTACTACGACTCACTGGATTTGGAAGTGGCGTTGGCGTCTTTGGAGCCGCGCCTCGTCTCCTTGGCGCGGCGGCTGAGGGTCTCGCGGCTGCGCTGCCTGCGCCTCAGCGGCTTGGCGTACTGCTGCTGCTGGTCGTAATTGATCTCGTAGGGCTCGCGATAGTGCCGCGGCCGCCAGGGCGCCAGCACGCTCACGCTGCGCGACACGGTGCGCGTGTGCGCGGCCAGCGGCCGGTTCAGCTCCTCGCGGCTGGCCGCGCGCCTTCTCTCGTTCGGCCCGGGTATCTCGCCAACTGTGTAAGCACGCGAAAAGCCATCGTACAGTCGATTGTTTTACTTTATTCGTTTTTTTAGATTTTAGATTATATACGATATACGCACCTGTAGCTGCGTGCAGATAGACGACCGATCTCTGGGATCGCTGGGAGTTTTGGCTCTGCTGGCTGCTGTCGCCGGTGGTGCTCTCGCCGGACGACAGGGCGCTCTCGGCCAGCCTCGAGGTCTTGCGCGGCGGCAGCGACATTCCCATCGGATGGCGCGAGTTTCCCAGCGTCTTGCTGTGATGGTGATTATCTCCTCGTTTGTTTCTGCGCGAGCGAATCAGGCGATTTAATTTTATAACGTCAAATTCGTGTGAAAAAAATCATGTTGATTTCAGCAAATTTGAACAAGGCCATATAGATGAATATTTGTAAGGAGTGAAAGTAACTTTAAATTATTGAGCTTTGACTGCAAAAGTAAAAGGATTAACTGAGATTACGAAAAAAAAAAAAAAAAAATTGGAAATGCGTTGTAAGGTGTAAAAATTATGAAGGAAAATTCTGAACGACGCGAGAGCTTATTTCGGGCCACAAATAACAGAATTATAAATCCAACGCGAATAATAATCATCGAAATTTATACAAGCAATTACCTGCGATCGCGACTGGACGAGATCGACTCCTGATCCGTGTCCCCGAAGAAACGCAGATTCTTCTGTACAGAGGCTCGTTCCGGGGCCGACGAGGCTTCCTCGTCCTCCGTGCCCGTTGTCAAAATTTCGCTCTCCGGTATTCTTGACTTCTTATCGATGGTCTGCAACATTCATGCGTGTTTTTGTTAATCGATCGACTTTCACCGTCTCATTTATAACTATAAATCACGGTGTAAAGAAAAATGACGATAAAAAAAAGGCGAGGATTATCGACGCGTACCACGAGAGTATCGACGTTACATAATTTCACGAGCAGCAGCATCTGCACCACAGAGCACGGGGCATTATAGTATAATACATCGAATACAGCTGGAGCTCGAGCCGATATAAGATACAGGCGCACGAGACGTTAATAGAAAGTTGCACGGATAAGACCGCGCGCGCGCGCGCCACAGGTCGAACAGAAAAACAATACCTGCAACGTATATATACATACACGAACGCACGCATGGACAACGGTACGACGAGCCACGCGAAGTACAGCCAGTGCACTCACACACACACGAAGGCGAATTTTACGAGATATGCGTGCACACGTGTGTACTGTATGAAATATCTGCATACATATACTGTGCACACCAACCATACGTGTGTGCGAGTCACAACCACAACAACAACAACAACAATAACAGCGACCCAAGAGCGCTGAAAAACACAAGCGTGCGGACTTTCGTGTTTCGCGAGCGGCGAACAAGCTCGCGGCGCACCGACGTGCTGCTGCTGCTGCGGCCGCGTCGAGGCCTCGAAGAACAGGCGCGCTTGCAACCTGCTGCTTGTTACATTATTATATAGCTGTACATAGCTTTTCGAGAAAACGTGTATCTGGCCGAAAAAAAGTAAGTGGAAAATGAGAAATTTACCCGCGATACCGAGAGAATTATACGTAGCGCGCGCGCGCGCAAGTCGAAAGCTTTCGCGCAGTTGCGAACACTGTCTCTTAAATTAAATATACGTACAAGTGCGATTTTTTAATAGTTTTTTCTCGTAGGTAAAAGTTTATGGAAAAGTTGGGGAATCGCATCACTACTCACCTTGGCGCTGGTCTTGTTCTTGCGAGTGAGCGACTTGAACCATCCTCGGCCGGAGGACTCCTGAGCGGCGGGCTCGGCGCGACCGTTGACCTTCATCTCGCGGAACTGGTGCTCCGGTCTCGCGAGCGTCCCCATCGATCGGGACAGCCGCGACGGCCTCACGGGACTCGGGCTGCCGTTCGGCGTCGACAAGCGCCTGCGCTGTCTGTATTCGTCCTGTTGAGAAGATGATTAAAATTAAAAATTGATCGTGAACTTCATCGTACATCAATAACAAGTTTCGTTTCATTTCGACGTCGAGTCGAAAAATACGCATCCAATGAATAAGTTGGTGTACGAGGGTCGTGCGTACATATCGGGTGAACGACACAATAATAGAGAAATGATGAATTATAGCAATTCTACGGTGAGCATTTAAAGCTGCTGTATTTATACCTATAGATGCGCTTCTGCAACTGCATAATCGATATATAACGTATATACGCGAGAGTACACGTATTATATATTACGGTACGTAACGGCCGTTATAGCCGTGTGCTTACTATTTTTTCACTTGAAAGAGCTATATCAAAAAAGCTCATCTATCAAGTTTGAATGACGAAGTAATAGTCATAATTTACAAGTGATTCATTACGAATTGAAATACTGATAATATTTTCGACACATTTTTCTCTTAAATTAAATTTGAAATCCGTCAGAGCTGGGAACAGTTTGCCTTATTTTCCATCACGACTTTTACTCGGTTTTTTTCGGTACTTGGTTCCTTAGCATTATGCATGCCATGCAGCTCATAGGCGAAAATTTTGATGCTCTCTCTCGTGCGAGATCACAAACAGGTAAAAAGATTTGCGATTTAATAATAATAATAAAAAAAAAAAAATTATATAAATAAACTATTTCATTTGGTAGTAAAAAAAAAGTATAAGCGCGAACAACTTGCACACGTTGCGCTCGATATCGACTTTGCGTTGGGCGAGTGCACAGCAGAGTGTGTACAAGCACGCAGGGAGTGCCTCGGTCACATTATACATGGGCTATATCACGTCAACTCTTCCCCCCTCTTGGATCAGAGTTGGAATTTGATTTTTCATTTTTTATTCTGCTTCCCTGGGGTGAATATAAAAAAATTGTTAAAGCATGATTTTTTTTGTAAAGTTTGATGAGGAATTTAAATTTGTCATCCAATAGAGAAGAGAAAAACCATGTTTTATTGACACATATGATGCTTAACAATGAAGTCGACTGATTTTTGATAATTTAGGGACTTTGAGGTTACGCTTGGGAAGCAGAATAAAATATGAAAAATCAAATTCTAACTCTTATACAAGAGGGGGGGAGGGGGGGGGGACAGTTGACGTGATATAGCCCATATATATATAGAGCTTATACTAGCGAGAGTGAAAAACCGGCTGCAGGAGCTAACTCTTCTCGCACGCGCACGCTACATTAATAACGTTGCGTACCCTGCGCGCAGCAGCTCGCGAATCGACTTTTCTCTCTTTTTCTCTCTCTCTCTCTCTCTCTCTCTCGCTCTCTCTCTCTCTCGACACTCGACTTAGTCCCTTTGGAATAACTGCCGCCGCCACCGTCGCTGCCACGCGAGGAGACGCGTTCGATTGCGTTCCGAGAGCCCGCGAGAAAGTATACCTGCGCGCACGATATCTCATGACAAACTGGCGCAAATCTCTTGGACTATATATCATCAGAAATTGTACAAATAATCGGCTTAATTCGAATCGAAAATCGCAATTGAAATTTTTGTAGTTGGAGGAGCTTAATGAACGTTGATAATTGTTCATCGAGGTCTGGGAAACAATTGATAAATATGCGCTTCCGCCGCAAGTACAACTGACCCGTGCACAGGCCAGAGTTGAAAAGTGATGGAACGACGCGAGGTGTAAAAATAACAACGGATTGTGTAACTCGATTAAAAGGATTTTCTACCGGCACCACGACAAGGAGTTCTTGGTGAAAACAAGCAGCTAAAGAAACAAGATTTGTGTCATATTAGCTTGGCTCTTAAAAGCCCGTGATGCCGATAAACCTATTTCTTGTAATTTTTTCATGTCATTTGTTAAAGGCTGTTAAAATAAAAGAAATTGAACAGAAATAAATAAATTTCTTCTGTGTTTTAATTTTATTACAGTTTTAACCATTAAGAAGTTTTTTTTATCATTTTTGAACTCAATCAAGTACGATAAAGCAATTAAAATAAAAAATGCGCGGAATGATTACTCGAAATACGCTTCCTTCAACGAGTCTCATTTTCATCTCTATGCGATCGCGGTTGAAGTCTCACGTACCTAGTACGTAACGTAGCGGTTCTCCGGAAAGGGTAGTATAGTAGTGGCATTGCAGCGCGTTCATAACTCGGATGTTGATTAAACAAGCTGTTTCATTGGCTCAGCCTTGCTTGCGGGCAACGAAAACATAAAGAGAGAGAGAGAGAGAGAGAGAAATCGTATTTTACAGTTACAGGTGCGCGCGGCTCACGTGGGGGCCCTAATCAGCGCTGTTACACACGTTCGTATACATACGTGTATCGTGCGCACATTTGTACATGCGGCAGCATACGTACTTACACACGTATATATGTATTGGCGATCTCATCGGCTCGTGCGCGCCGCCGCCGCCGCCGCGCTGCGCTCGCATTCCAAGATACGACCGATTAGAAGATGAAAATTTTCAAATAGCCGAGCGCGCGCGCGCGCGGTTAAATACTCTGCCTAACGCTCGCGCGCGATCTTCCCTCGAGATGACCGCGTCAATGCGCTCCGTATATATATGCACTCGCTACACGCGAGTGCTTAGCTACTTCGTATATTAAACGTGAAAAAAAAAAGAAGAAGAAGAAAGGGGGGAAGTGAGCGCTGGCGGGTGGCGCGGGCGCTGAAAAATGAAATACCGCAGATAGTGGCGAGATTAGCGGAAGAAGGTAACACTCGACTGGTACGTAGAAAGAATGTGCGCGGCGAGGAAACTTCGTGAGATCGTAAAATTTTCTTCGCTACAGGCTCGACTGACGCCGAGTTAACAGCTATTTAGAAATATCACGATACGCAACGAGTAGAAGATATGTATTATACTTTGAATCATCTTGAGTTGGGGCTAATTTTACAATAATTTAAAAAAAAAGCCATAGTTCACGAGTGAAAAAAGTTCAATTTTACGCAACAAGAAGAAAAACGAGAGGATGTGCGAGTGTGCATCTTTGCGAGGCACACCCATGTACCAACGAAATCGAGCTTGCACCTCGAAAGAAGACGTGCGACTTTTTCCACCAGTGCGCTCCCATTGAGTGTCAGGAGTGCTTGACAAATATGAAGCTCCGCGACTTCCTATTGCGGAAAATCCTGTCGATCTTTATCAGGATATAGATTTACCAGTAATCATCAAAGGGTCAGGAATGCTACACGAGATATCTTCAAAAATGCCACATAACGAGAGCTTTGATAAATATTCAGGCGCTTACACGTGTAAATTATGCGCAGCATTTTCAACGCCGCTGCTGCTGTGGGAAAGATGCGCGAATCAAAGTCTTTGATTTTCATCGTTTTACGGTGTATGCATATAAGCGCGCGAGAGAAGCAGACGCCGGTAAATTCAGAGGAGATCGATGCACGCGCCGATCTCCGCGCACTCATGCGCTTGCCGCAGTTGAGATATATACTACTTAAGCTTTTTTTTCCAACTGTGCATAATGCACACGAATATGGCGGCGATACTAGTGCTTTCACACGACCGGAATGGGTATTTAAGAAACTCGAATTCAGAGTTACTTCGAAGTCGGGTTGTTTCATATCGGAATTAGAAAATCTAATTATACGATAAAAAAACAGGTCTCGAAGGCAATAACAGCAACGAGGCTCATGGTTATCTTCGAATCCAGAGTTTGCAATCTGACAAATACGTCGAAACGTAATTGAATTACGATACACGAATTAATTGTATATTGCAATAGTATATTGCAAGCCGCAAGCACGAAGATCAGTTAAGATTACGTTTGTCTTTTTTCTTCTTGAAACGTGTGTCAAGGTTTCGAAACACGAAACAAAACGAAGAAAACTCGTCAAAAAAACCTTTGAAGCTTAGAGATCGAATAAATAATAAAAAATATACGCAGCAGATACATAGAAGTGAAAATCAAACGCGAGCAATATATCCGCCAAGCCTGTTTTCCAACCGGATTTCACGCTCGGAATATGAAGCACCTCAGCGTATATACGACGACTCATCATAAATAGGACACCCTTCAATGCCGCTATCCGCAATACATATGAGCGCTCCTATGAGTCTCGCGCGTGTGTGTGCTTTTGCGGCTCGGAAGAAAAAGAGAGAAAGAGAAAACAAGAGATACGAAATAAGGATTTTTTCTTTCTTCTCGTTTTCTTGTTGGTGCGCTCGTATTCGACTAACGCACCTACGACAGCCGCCAGAGAGCGAACGAGGCGAGAACAGACTCTCACCCAGAAACCTATACCTGCCATTCATATAAGTAGTAATTCTCAGCTCGCATGATCGCAATTTTGCGTTCGACGCGGCTCTATACGTTTGCATAGTTCATCAACATCCATCCCAAGAGCTAAGGCACATATGGACACACAGACACATATGGATTTACAAAGGGCGTTACCGCGTCGGCCTGGTAGAGTTGACGCTTGCGCGCCCGACCAGCTCCGCATAGGGGGCTCGTCTACTGCCAAGCTCTATGCCTCTCGGGCGACTTAATGGCATTTCGCGTTCCTCGCGCGCAAGCGCACCGAGTGTATTTTAATACGCCAACAATGCAGCCTCTAGCTATACTACTGCCCCTTTTTTCCAATATTAAGGCCGACGTGTGGTATGCTATCTATCGCACGAGCAAAAGCTTGACTTTGGATTTTTTAATTAGTTACATCATTATAGTTTCTGTGACAGGTTCAAAGTCCAAAGCTTTAATATAATCAAATAAAGTTAATTTATTCCACTTAAATTGCACAAATGTATTGCGTAAATGTATCTGGCGTATTCATTGGATAGAATGTTTTTTGATAAAAAAAAAGATTTAAAATTTAGTCATCTAACGCACATCTGCACTTTTATAAATAGACAGAGAGAAAGAGAGCTTACGATTAGAGTTCGGAGCGAAAAAAAGAGGTAGAAAAAAAAGCGATGTGTACGAGAGTGAGGCCATCAAGGTACGTGTGTGTATACGATGAAACGAAATAA